TTGAATTTCGAATCGTTTTATCATATTCTTATTGCCCAGGAACATTTGATATAAATCGGATAAAAAAACATATCGGATATTTACATTAGCTGTTGCTATCCGGTGTCCAAGTGAATTTAAATATTACTTCGATACAAAAATGATACTTGTAGATAATGGAACGTTCGAATGCTAAAAAATAATTGAATGCATAATGTCTTTGAAAATTACGAACATTTTTTAAAATCTTTTTTATGCGTGTATTAGATAAAATAAATTGAAACATTTCATAAATAAGTAAACGATTTTAAAGAAATATTAAAAACTGTTAAGGATTTTAGTACTGATAGTGCTAACATTTAAATTTAATGTTATGGGTTGTTTAATTAAACATTTTGCGTATAACGAAACTAGACCGAAAGGGTCCTAGAATGAACTATATTTGAGTCTCTTTATGTCAACGACCATACATAATAGGGTAGCAAGTTCAAACGTAGTTCATAGTTCGTTGGACGCTCTTTAAATTTCAACAGAACTAACCTATTTTTTAACATTATAAATTAGGATATATTTAATTTAATTACTGAAACTTTAATAACTATGTTGGCTGAGTTTATTTTGTTATAATTCAGTATTTATTACTTAGTCATCATTGAGTCAAAGGGTCATACAAAGTTCAAGCATAAGGTTCATAGTTCATTGGACACCTCTTGTGATGTGAAGCCAAATATTTCTGAAATTGTAATTCCTTATTTCCTTTCAAATTTCTTGGAGAATACAAGAAAGAAGGAAAATGTTTTTTCATGTTCCTGTTTATACACTTGTTTGAATTTGCGGTTAAATGATTTTTTCTTTTAATTACTAACTACAGGAAATATATAAATACAATTGTAGGAAACTGTTCAAAAGTTCGTTGAACTCCTTCGCCATCAGAATATGTGACACATTATTTCCTGTTCTCATCTTGTATTGTTTTTGAGATTAAATTTCGGTATTTGTGTTTTTTTACTTTAAAAGAACACATTATTAAAACCATGGATTTATTTTACATTTCAGAGTATTCTTCGACAGCTGTTATTCTAATTGGATTCTAGGTTAAAGTAAACATTTACAGATTAAAAAATGTTACATATCTCCTGCAAAGATTCAACGACTTTTGAACTAGATAAACATTAGACATCTGTGTTTAGGCTACATAAAATCTACAATATCTACATTTCAGTTTCTATCTAAAAGCACATTTAAAACTAAAAATAATACTAATATAATAAATTCACAATTGAACGGTGACATACTATATAGTATATCTCGGTGACCTGGTAATTTGACTAGTTTTGCTCTACTGAACGTAACATCTTTATTCATAACTTTGACGCTTAGTAACTTTAGGTCTTCTCTATGTGGAATATAAAAGAAAATTCCAGAGAGGATTTAACTTTTTTTTCAGTTATGGTATGAGTTTTTCTTACTGGCCAGCTATTTTAGTCGTTTTTAGCAATGTCACTGACGTCGAAAATCGTCTTTAACATGATTTGCTTAGTAAAGGAGTTTATCGGTTTTGCTATTATGCAAATTTAAATATTTTCAACATAGAAATCATTTATATTTACAAAATGATTTTAAAACGGCCAAGTAATTTCTAATTGTAATCAAAATACCTAACGAAATGTATTGTTGATATTTATTGATGTAATTTGAGTAACTTGCTTTACTGTGGCAATAATAATTTTGATTGTTCGACAATTTTAATGAATTTATGTAAAAATGATTGTGCAATTACAATTTGAGCGAACGTGATTGAGGTCGTTGACTTATTGCGATAATATTAATTACTGACTCATCTGTTAGTTAAAAATTAAGCAAGTAATATGATAGTATTGGTTATGATGACGCGTCGTTATGCACCACATTAGCGGCTGTTGCAGGGTTAATGTAACTAGGTATACAGGTGGGTGTGATATCACCACTCTAAATAATTTTATTTCATTTGTTTATAGTTCTATCATAACAATCTACATATGGAAACGGAGAATGATTTATGAACGATGTTACTGAGCCTAGCAACGTGAAATTTAATATGCGATGCTCAAATAATGATTATTAGGCTGTACTTCGCTTGTATCAGTATTAGAAAACTGGCTTTTCATATAAAAGTATATTAGCGTTGATATGACTATATGACTATATGACTTACAATATTCATAAGATTTTTACTTTAGAATATAACTGGCCGTTGCCCTTAAATCTTCAGCGAGAATAAAAACAATCTATATTTTGTTACAGAATTATTAAGGTCTAAGCAACGTAAAATATATCTGTCAAAGTCTAAGAGTTTAAATGTTGCCTACAAGATATACCAAATTATTCTTTTATTTTCTAATTTAATTTAAAGACACCATTCACAACAGTTGTATTAAATAATGTTAAGTTATCGTCATCACAAATTATTATCTTAAAAAAATATTACACTATAATTATGCGGGAGTTCTCAAGATTCTGCCTGCATATACATCTTTATTGATTTAATTAGTCTGCATTAGCATGCTTGCGCTCTGATGCAATAGTTGCATCGGAAGTGTAACATCCGTTTACGACAATCTAACTGGATTGTGAATAGAGTTCGTAATACGTCACGGTTCCAGGTTAAGGTGACAGATAACGAACATCATTTTTAAACGTAATTATAACAAACTTACGCATAAGTTTAAGTATACTGAAACGAGATTTAAATATGTAACATCATAAATGATAAGGCCACTTTTAAACTCCAAATTCCTTTCGAATTTGACACCTATCAGATTGTAAGCGGCGCTTAAAACGTGACGCATTTAAGATTCGTTTCAGTGTATGGCCGTATAAAGGCCCTGAACTGTACTCGTAGATACCATTACATAGTTTAGATTGATTTACGTTTATTTACTTCTGGAGGGTAACTTTGGAGGTTATAATAATTAGTTAGAGGCTTTTTTTTGTGACTGAGTTGTCACTGTTTGCCTTGAAGAGGCATTAACAGCTCCACCGGGCTTGAGGTGGCCGAACAGGGATGGCGCTCAGTAACCTCGTTCAAGTTGAATTCTTTACGTTCGTCCATTTAAACGTTTTAGTTAATTTAATTGGTCTGTAATTTATTACAGATACGCTTACTGTTTTATCTCTATGTAGCTTATTTTTAAACGAGAGTAATTTTGTCATAAGAAAAGAGGTCAATTTAATTATTATAGTATTTGTGTGTGTTGTCAAATTTCGAAATTATTATTTACCGATAAATGTGGCATTTATTCCTTCTTCTTTTTACCATAAAAGAATAGATGGATGCTTTAACTATTCCTTGATGCCTTTCTATTTTAGTTGTATGAAAAATGTTTGATGATCGCTTTTAACTTTCGTGAGTCACTAATATAAACTTCTTTATATGATACGGGTGATGAAGACTCAGCACGTGGTCCCAAATCGATAGTTCGTTAGCCCAAGGGGTGCGGGGGAGGGTAGGCGGTAGTCGGGGGCAGGGGGGTTCGGAGCGTGTGACGTCACTCGCGTCTCGCCCGCAAGGTCGCCGCCTCTGCTAGGTTATTTACACCTAACCCTCCAATATCTCGGGAATTCGTGCGATTTCCTATGTTTTTATATCGTTCATGACCTTTTTAAAAATTCCGTGCTATAATATCCTAATGCAATTCAGTTCTGAATCGCATTTTTGAGTTGTTTGATAAAAATTTTAACCATCAATTATGTACATTAAATGAAAACTGTAATTCAGTTGCCAGTTTTAATTAAAAGAAAGTTTTTTCAATTTACATTCTTTTAGATCGTTTGTATAAGATTTATTACCGCCATCAATTTGGCTTTATGTTTAAAAGCTGAAAAAAGATAGAACATTGTTAGTGTTAAATTTATTACGTATTTTTATTAGTTCCGAAATAAAGAAGTCGACGTGAAAATATGCACAGATTACCTCATTTCTGCATATCGTGTGAATGCGACCTCGCTGTAAGGTCAATTGGCCAGGGTGAGCACGTGTGACTACGGACCGATGACCTATAAAACTTTTTACTTTTTTAAATTTTCATTGTTTAAAAAGTTTTTAATTTTTAAAATTGGAACGCATCTAGATATACAACAATAATAAGCTGTTAAGAAAGGAGCAATCCTTATTCGTTTTTGTTTATTTTTTGCGATTACTTTTATTCGAATAATCTAATTAAAATGCAATAAAATTAATTGAAATGTAATTATAATTGTATAACCATAAGATAGCGTTCCATGAATAATGAAACGGAAAAATGCGCCGGCCGACGTTATGCGGTTGTCAACATTCATTTTCCGGGGTCATTGAACTATTAACAAAAATCGTACTTGGGCACTTAAACTGCATCACGTTAATAACAATAATAACATATATAAAACAATTCAAAAACGAAAAAAAAATTGCCAAAGTAATGCAGGCAACAAAAGCGCCGAAGAATCCACATTCAAACTAGAGTTCAACAGCATTTCACCGAAATCTACTTTGTTTGGGTCCCGGGGTCAACGAACTGCTGTGACGCCCGCGCGTCTGTGTGCGCGCGCCGCTACGTCCGTACGCAACACCGCCACACGCACACATCGATATCTTGCCTTGTACTTGGTGCGGACTATGCTGGGCAAATTGATTTCTTTCTTGTAGGCGTAGTTTTATAGATATTTATTACTATAAATACGAAATCTACAGTTTTAAATGTACTTTTTAATATACAATAATTATTTTTTCTTAATATTCAATATTCGCAAAATTATTTTTAACCATCATATTCCACATCAAGCCGGGGCGACTGAACTATCACTATGAGCTAAGTTGATTATTCGGTCCGAATGAAAAAATATATAATTTTTTCGTGAGCCCGACCGAAGATTCGTCAATGCGTCAGTCACGATCGGACCGCTCAGGCGTCAACATCTCAAGACGGCCAGTCCTCGACGCGTACCCGAGTTGTGCACAACCCATAGTACAAAAATTAACGTACAAATTTTTTTTGTTCTTACAGTAGTGAGGTGATCGGATCAGTTGGTTTATTTACTGAAAACAGTGACAGTGCCTTGTACAGTGCGACAGTGAACGGGATGTTTCTATCTGGAACGTGGTGATAAACGACTTATAAATCTAAATTTAATGCATAAGCGCTGAACGTAAATTTAACGAAAACGAAAAATTGGTTTTAGATAATTGACCGCAGTTCAGTTAACTAAAATCGCTTTTTTAAAAATATCGCAAATCTAATTGGCATTAATATCTCCTATTAATAATTAAATAAAATCAAGTAAATCCTTCTCTCTGCTTTGGTTTTCTTTTTACAGATTGTTTTTTTTCGCTTTGTGACAAAAAGTATACGGGAACAAGTGAATTAAAATAATAATTTGTTTGAGAATTTCGAAAATAAAAAACAGTGCCTTAAATAGATTTTAAGAGGAAAAAGGGACAACAAAACAAAATCACGGAGACAAAATGCCAAGGAACTTGTTGCTGTTCAAAAAGTTAATTCCTGAAATAAATTTCGCGAAAAGAAATCTCACATCACCTCTCGGCCTCAATATATTTATCAGTTAATAAAAAAACAACAACAGCTGGTGCTTAAATTCAACAAAGTTGACGAAAAAGTCCGGAGTGCCATAAAATTTTTTCGAAAAATTCTTATGGTGTCAAAACATAGAATATAATTTGCCTTAACCCCGACAAAGTCGAAAGAAACAAATTTTTACAAAGAGTTTAAAGAGAAAAAAAAACAATAAACCAAACAGTGATAGTAGTAATAGCAATGCGAATTCAATTCGCACAGACATCAGAGAATCATTTGTCAAAAATAACTTAAGAACAGAAGAAACATTTCGACAAGAAATCCTTACTTTGAAATGATGAATAACAATCAGTTCCACGAGTTGTTCGGGTCTCAGTGGCCACCTGACCAGCACGGTGGCCACTCGTCTGCCTCGACTATGCTGCACCAGCAGTCGCAGTTACCTCAAGTGCAGTTGAAGAGGGAACCTCATCCGGATGTACCGGGTATGCACAACCAAATGGGAATGGATATATCGGGATCTGTAGCGGACAGCACTTCACCTCCTCCCGGCAATAGCGAGGGAATGTTTGGATCTTCCATATCTGGCATGTTCATGGACAAGAAAGCTGCTAACTCCATTAGAGGTAATTAGATTTTTTTCTTTTATCAGCATCTGGCGTTCTTTGAACAAGGAATGCTTGGGTTTTTACTTCAAAATAGCATTGTTTTAATTTAGAAAAGAAAATGCTTCCTTCCGGTATGTGACCGATTGCATAACTTTATTTGGCACGTGGTGTACTGTTGCGCAAAAGAAGGATGAACAGAGATAGAAATTTCAGATTTGATCGATGTTACATCGATTAAAATTCAGTACCACGTGCTAGTGCTAACATAATAGTTGTAAAGTTAATCCTTAATCGATATTAGCTTACAAAATCTTCCTGCTTTACGTTTATAAATTGACAATTTAACACACTATATTGACGTATGCAGGTATAAGAAGCCGAACTACGAGTACTAATTGACCTTTTATCTATGTTCAAATAATAATATCATGTTTGTCTGTCTGCTGATATACGTCTATTGGTTTACAATACAAACATATGCAGTAGCTGTTTTAATCATTAAAAGTCGGATATGTTTGCTTTAGTTTATCAGAATATAAAAATGTATTAAAGTTGTAAAGAGGACTATAATCTCTAAAACAGTGGAAACAAACTTTAGGTATTACTTTAGTATTTTAAATCTGTTTGAGGTGTGTATCCAGACAGTATCGAACTTCAAGTAATCGGTGTTAGGTGATACTATTTTAATTCTACGTTAGCCATACACGGACTTCAGTTTGCAGTCGTCACAAAATAGCAATCGGTTGAAGCTGTCGGTACTGACGGTATTGCCGGGTATGGCGGCTTTAACAGTATATGCTCTATTGGAGTTGAGATGATAGAAATGTTAGTCTTTACGTAATCACATGTCCACATCTTGAGTGTACTCTGGTTAGGACAGTTGTCAAGTCAAAGATGTCTTGTTAGTAATTGGAAACTGTCAGTTCTGGTAGATTGCGAAATTAAGATTAAAGGCAGTAAAACTTGGGGAATTTATTTCACAGTAATAAAGAACCTCATGTAGTAGCTAAAAATAATAATTGATAAATAGATAATATCTATAGCATCAATGAAATAACATAACTTTTGCATAAACTACCCTAGAAAGAGATGTCCAAAGTGATTTTTTTAACATCTTGCTTTATGGCCCACGTACTCTATGCTTGTGTTTACACATAAGCAAACTATACAGTAGACCCTGTCCTTTATAAATGGACAGGTTGGAAATGCGGTATTTAATGCCAATTTGATTTTCGCCATTTTGGCACTGACAGTTGTAGTTGATAGTGGTCTTGAGGATCCAAACAAAAATTAGAGATAGAATTAAGTGTCAGAAACATCAACGGGTGTGTTTAGGTCAAAACCAAGCAATAGCAGTCATGTCCAAGCAATGGCCTATCCATTTATAAGCATCAGTGATAGTAAAGAACAATGTTTTTTAAATTTGAAAATAGAACTTGAAATGTTCCAGTAAGATTATTTCAAGTAGTTTAATAATCGTTAGTTTGCAATTAAAAATCTAAATATATGGCAGTTACCTTGTGCGATATTTGTCGATAGTGATTTACATGTGTAAGTGTTTATGCGTCATTTGTGCCGAAAACCTAGCATCGTTATTTACAATTTGCATTATCTGCAACGTTCCCAATTGCATTTGAATGTTTGTGCCCTACTAAATAAAGTTACACTAATAGTTTGGTTTTTTCTTTGTTCGGAATGCGTGTTAATTGTCCCCAAAATTTGGGTTAACATAACATTCCATGCGTTAGTTTGCAATCGAATTGCGTTATTGTAAATTGCACTTTAAGTTTCATGTTGGAAAATGTAAAATCGAATAACTAGAAAATTCATTCTTTCTACTGCGTAAATGCTACGTTTGATTCGAATGGAACGTGGGAAATATCACATACAGTATACGAGTTACAATTGAAAAGAAATCTTATCACTTTTACTTTAAGATCTAATTTTGTTTGTTTGCTACGTGGTGTTGTTACGTTATGATTGCGGGGGTGTGTTGCACGTGTTTTCGGTCGGGGTTAATGCACTTGACACACTTTACACTTTGACTTGTTACTTAATTGTTTTACAGGAGCGCGTTCCGAGTTCGTTTTCATCTTTCGATCGATTACCCTTGCAGTGGTGCGTTATTTTTTAAACATAAATCAACAACACAAAACCATTTTAAAATCATCGCGTTTATAAAGAGTTTGTTTTAATTTTACGATAGCTTTTACTAAATTGCCTTTGAAGGTAAACTTTTTTCATACTAAATTTACTGGAGACTGACGCTGCTGTCACTTAGTGTTAACTTAATATATCTGAGTGCAGTAGATAGTCAATTAACCGACGTGCTTCTGTTATCCAATCCAGTGGCACGTAAATAACTAAAACTTGACGGAATGAGTTTATGCGTTATGCCTTCAAAATGAGAGTAAATTGCTTAATTCGCCAGTTCAAGGTTGTTCACAGTTAATTCAATGATACGTCGACCTCTGTGAATCATTTATTTACAGAAATAGTGTTAGAGATGTGTCAAGTTAATATTGCAAAGGAACTCACATACCTACCTGATTTTTTTATGTTAAAAAATTTTTTTGCTTTTAGATTTTTCGAAATAGTGGTCTAATAAATTTGGGTGTTTGGGAAAAGCTGTGTAGGAATCTATACATATAATAAAATTGGAGTGTTTGTTTGTAACATTAAAAGAAAGATTTCAGTTGTCGAAAAGATGTATTTGCGTTGTTGATAACGAAAATCACATTTAAAAGTTGTTTGTCTGTCTGTCCGCAAGCCGCGTTTGTTTCGGGTAATCTCCGAAATGGCTGTGCTGATTTCGCCAGGACTCTCACTCAAGGGTATCTAATATAGACGGGCATATTATAGGCTACTTTTTTATATTAATATTGCGTGCATGAAGTCGCAGGCAACAGCTAGTTAAGAGATAAAGAGACTCAAAGAATTCGACGTAAATAAATATGTAGTATATTTAGATGCAAGAATAAACTAAACGGTCATTCTCCAGGCAGCCAAGATATTTAAAATGCCAGAAGCTTTAAAAAAGGCAAACGTCATAGTAAATGCACCCAAGTGTTTGAACGCATCATTACAATTCATTATGTGTGATAAATATCTTTTAATAATTTATAAAATACTTGAACAATAGCCGTTTAAAAATTCAAAAACCAAACGCGGTACGCCCACCGCGAGGTCGTTGACCGGTGACGTCACGTCGACGTCACGAGTAGCTGTCACTTTTATTTTAGGGCGCGTTCCAAATTAAGTGACGTATGACGTTTAGCTTAGTTCTGCAGCTACCGTTTCCGCTTTCTCTACCGTAAAAGAACTCTCTTGTTGGTTTCATTTTTAACATAAAATATGACGAGTTTGTTTTCATTTATTCTAGTTATAGCAGTACAAAGACTTTTTTCTGTAAAATGAAAAATAAAACAATGATTTTTATTATGTCCAATGTTCATCCCACATAGATATCTAATATTACGCGATAAAAGCAAAATATTAAATTAATTATGTAACTTACGCTACCAGAGCCAAGGTATAAAAATAAATATCGTTATTGTTTATTGTAACCGGTACAAAAGTAGTCAATAAACTTTATATTTAATAAGGTAAATAGTTGTGTTAACATATGATTGCGTCGTAAGGGTTGTTGCTCCGGTGAGATAAAAACTCATTCTATTTTTGAATTTCCCTGTCCAGACGGTTATACATTATTCATTTGTTTATTTCCTTATACGCAGACTTATCAGTAATTTTTGAATTATATTTAAGTAATTCCCATGTTCTAGAATGAATATTACAAAACCAAGTTCAAGATCGACAACAGTTGCATTATTAACACTATGGCCTGTATGGCACTATGGCACTATGGCCTGCCACATGCTATGGCCTGTAGGATTTGATGACAAACTGATAAATATGTGTGTTCTATAGTAACTTAAGGCTGAGTTCGAATGTTTGAATATTATCTGTTTAATTTGAAAAGAACGATATGTAGGTTAGTAATGTAATTACACATATTTAAACCGGCTTTAAAATAATCTATAACCTTAAAGTCGACAAATTTTAGTTCTGCTTTAAATTAAAAAATTACAACAAATTTAACGTAAAATTATTTTGGTAATTTATCTTATGAAACAAAATCTTTATCTATAAGGTCGTTGACCTTGTGACGTCATAGTATGTCACCTAAACAATTTCAATATTACGTAGCGCATTCGAATCCGTGATGCAATAACTTAGGTGAATTTTAGGTCATTGCCATTCGAACTTTGTTTCATGAAGTAGTACATTTTATAGTACGGAATAATCAAATTTAACAGTTATAAAACTCATAACTTTGATTTAATTAAATTAACTGACATAAAACATAAAGGCCATTAATAAAATGATAATTATTAAAAAATTGGTAATTTGACTATTGTCTAACGTTTAAGAAATCCAAAATTTTTAGGTTATTGGGACAAACTGAAATCTTAACCAAGCTAATAGTGGATCAAGCAAACCATACAAAGGACGAAACAAACCACATTTATACTAAGTAGCTATTCTGGTATGTGAATAGTCTATGATAGAGCAAAAATAAACATATTACATAGCAATAATACTGGCCATTAAGATAAAAAAAAATCACACAATAGAGGTAAATCCTAAAAATAAAAATAGTAAGAATTGTAGAGGGTTCGACGACCACATTGCATTACGTCAGCTGATTTGAAGCCAAAACTAAAATTAAACCGGGAGGGAACTCTGTAAACATCATTATTAAATACTTGAGTCGAAATAAAACTTTATACCTACACTAACTGATAAATAACTGCAACAAAAGTTGTTCGTTAAACATAGACTTTACTAAGAGCGAGCACTCATTTGATTAAATTATCGCACAACTGTTTAGTCTCGCTTTGATTCCTATGAGGTTATGTGGAGGTGCGCACACTATACTGATTTTTAGTTGTACAACTAAACAGTTGAATGTTCTGCGAAACAATCGAGAATCTAATAGTTCCACTCAGTGACATCATTTCTGCATGATATTTTTAATTCTATGTGTCGCTCGCGTCTTAGGCATTCCCGCACATACCTAGGTATACGAGTATAAACTTACCTTCCAGTAAATCTTGTCAAAATTAGTAAAACGATATCAGAGATTACCTGGAACAAATACGGATTTGCGTACAGACAAACGAAATTATGTTAGTTTTTATCTTACCCTACTACTTTATTATTTATATATGGAAGTTACACTCTATTTAAACAAGTAAATTAACGTAATTTTATTCATAATTGTGATAATAATTTTAACCTGAAAAAGATAATTAGTGAATTAATTACTGCCTAGTTACTTAATTTTGTTTTTACCAACCTTTGTATGATCTGCCATTTGCCATTGAATCCATATTTGATTTCCCCTTTCACTAAGTAGGACTTAAGTTAATCACTTTTTATCGACTTAGAATTACATTACACACACGTTTTTTTTTAATTATTGTAATGGTTATTTAATTAAAACACAAAAAGCAATAAAAAAGGCAATCATTTTAACATATATATCTCGACACTGCACATTTAAAAGTTAACCTCTTTACGTCAATTAGTTCTAAGAAAAGCGTCACTAGTTATTGCCAGATGAAAATAATTAAGAACATTTTCAAAAACAATTGTGAAACATAAACTTTTCCTAGAGACTAAACGAATTTGAATTTCGAACTCTAAAATATTTGAATTCTAAATTTGTTCCGAGACATTTGGCTATCAACAATTCAGAAGTCGATAATAGAAGAAAAATTTTCCATAGACAACGTATCTTAATCATTGTTGTTCGATATAAAACCTTTTTGCAATTAAATAGAAATTGTGATAGAAGTTGTGCGATAGTCAAGAAACGGCTGCGCGGCAAACGTTAGTTCGGACAAGCGCGGTCGTTCACCCGTATCCTACAGGCCGTTAGATTAAAATTCAAATTCGGAACTAGAGCCTTGGATTTGGCCAGGGTTCGATGAACCCGTGACGTTTGTGGGTGTGTAAATTCGGATACGTGTCCTGAGTGTTTATTATCAAAACAGATAATTAATTTGAGGTACAAACTTGAAGACGTAACATTAAAAATATTAATTGGGCAGTGTAAAATGAAATTTATGCATTGAAGAAATTATTTCCCATTGTAAAATTCTTATTAATAAATAAAAATAGTTCGGTCCTATGATAATAATTAAATTATGTGATATTTTCCCCCACACTAATTGCTTTCAAGCTAATTTTTATGAGTTTGAAAATTGTTTTTAAACGTTTCTATTAATGTAATTCATTTTCGTTATTCCTTAATTTGAATTTTTTATAAAAAAAAAATATCTCTCATCTTATACGGTCCGTTTACACTACCTTGGTGATTCACGAGTCCGTTGAAATATCATTCAGTGTAAGGTATGAAATAACTCAGCGCATTGCAGTCCAATGACCCCTGAGCCGCGGCAACCTTGGGTACCGCATGTTACGCAATTACCCATCGTACCGAATTCGAATCGCGGTACGCGCGTGACGTCACACGGGTGTGATATCCCCAACGATTCAAGATCGGTACAACGTTCGAACGGGCCCCAGAGGGTCGGTGACCGGTGACGTCACAAACAGCTGACCGAGTGCAACGGGGCGGTGTATGTCTCCTTCCCGCTCTACAATCGATGGACAAGTCCGATTATATAAGGTGGCCTTATCTATAGTAATCTGGTAAGGCTCTTTTTAATCACTCTCGTTAAGGTCTCCGACTTTTAATGGTATTTTTTTTATTAATTATTGCACTTATCAACCATCTTATTTCACCAGTTAACAAGTTATTTATTTGGTTACATTATAAAAGTCTTTATTAGTTTATTATAATGATACATTGATAGCTGAGAGGTTAGTCTGTTCGTTTCTAAATTACATCTCGGAAGTCTCGACTATGGCTAGTATATAATGTAATTGATAATATATCAACGGCTTAGCCACTGAGTTATGGGCTCGCCCTTTGTTCCTTACATGATTTAATAGCATTATGTGTCAGTCCTACAAAATTGTTAATTGTCTGATAACAATCGAACGTGTAAAAAATGTGATGGAAATATCGGATTTTGTTCCCTCTGATAGTGACGTCATTTTTAAGCTGAGCCTCTATCAGTCAGTGGTGGGACAGGCCCTTAATATTGTAAATACAAAATCTGCTACCAATATTCATATTAAACTTCTATCGGTACCTTAGATTATGACACGGATTCTCAACAGATGGTTGGATGTTAATTAGAGTTTGTAGCTGCTGAACTTGGTAAAATTTGGCACAGATGTAGAGGATAGTTTGGAAGAACACATAGGCTACTTTCTTTTGTGACTTTTAATTACACGCGGACTAAGTCGCGGGCGAAAGCTTACTCATAATACCAATAATTTGTTGCTTTGAGTACAAAGAATAATAACATGTCAAGTGATTTGGAAAACTCGAATATTTTTTTTAATAATTTTAAGTTTGATATTATAAGATAAATAATTTTATAATAATAGTTTTCTGGAACATTCATAAATTGTTCAGTTGGCAACTTATGTCCGTTGCCAAACTGCTGACAATGTAATTTCGCCACTGGCAACCCGCAGTCATCAAAACAAACGCTATTGTTACGTAACTGAGGTTTTGAATCCATTGTTTTAAATCTTTTGAAATGGGATGGTGCCTAATTAGTTACACTTTTTAATTCATTGTTCAATCTACCCATGTTCCCATTGAAAGCTTAACTATAATTAGAATTGTTTAATTTAGGAACATTTTTATTGTAGACAACGGAATTAAATATCCGTGAATTGTAAATTATAAGTGCATACTAGGCATTAATAAGGTAAGTACTAAAGATTTGATAATCTAGAACCTGTATCGCTATATAGGAAATGGTTTTATTTACCTATATCAAATGAAGAGACTATATAAATTTTTATATCTCAAAACTTTTGTGGGTAGTTTAAAACGCGCTGTGATAAATCTGAGAATAGAAAATGGACGTGAAAAATGAGTGTTAAATCGTTCTTTGATTACATTATTCCAGTTATAAACGTTAAAAATTTTCTATTACTAGCTTTTGCCCGTGATTCCGTTCGCGTGGAATTAAAAACCTATGTGTTCTTTCAGACTATATTCTAAATCTGAGGCAAATTTAGTTGAGATCCGTTCAACAGTTTAGGCTATAAACTCTGACAAACATCCAACGATCTAAACTTTCGCATTTATAATATTAGTAAGATTATACATATTGTAGTTTCATAACATTTACCAGTATGTAAGATTCGATGACGATAGTAGGCTGTGAAGATTTGATGTCACACGTGGCGATGGCATTAGCTTTATTGCATACACTATTAAGCCCTAATTGCATCTTAATGGTCTGCTAATACGATAAAGGTATAAAGATAATTTATGTATTAAATGTCCATTTTTGATTCACTGTATTTTTCTATTACAAAGGATGGATTTACATTGATTTTTATATTAACCGTTTGTCCAAAAGATTCGTATATAATTAAAAATAAACGAAAGTTTACCGATATGCATAGTCATTGTCGTATATTTTATTCTTTCTTACTTTCGTGTAGTATTTTATGTTGTTTTTTTTGGATAACATTTAAATAAAAAATTTTTGGACAGGATTTAGAACAAGACGCATTGCAAGACCAAAAGCTGCTTGCTCAGCTATTTTGTTCAAGCACACTATAAAGGTTTGGAAAGAACAATTATTTAGTACCACGTGTTATTTTGTAGACACGATTTTAAAGGAGATTTCAACTCTATGTCTATAACTATAAAGTAGATTTTTAAATGAATGGTCTAGTGCTACACTGAAACACCATAGCAACTTGGTGCAATTTGTAACAGTTCTTATTTCACATACGAATTGTAAATTACTTGCGCAATAAGTACGAATTGCTTACATATATTTTATGGCAACTGTCAAAAATCTACAAGCTAATTAGAGTTTTATTCACCGGTAATAAAATGTAAAATGCCTTGCTTAACTTACAAACACATGAAAGAAACCGACATACACATGTAAAGACAGTCATCGGCCGCGGTCCGACCTTGCCTTAAGGTCAACGACCTGACAACCAAAATGACGTACAAATGTTTTTTTTAATTATTTAATAATTACACGACAAACGATTATGAAAGCAATTATTACATTTCTATGATTTGTTGTAAAATAATAATAGGATTATCTTTATTATTGAAATTAAACGCAATTTTATTTAAAAAAAATGCTATTTACAGATAAAACTAAACTAGGTTATGCAGTTTATTTGTTATTAAAAAAAACTCAAAACCAAGTTAATTTTCTGTTTATAAAAATAATCTATAATCGGACTACTGTTTTATTTTATTTACCCTATTTGTAAAATAAAGAAATACGTGAATCTGAAAGATATTTGTAATTATTTGTGTACTGATGAATCTTATTTGCTTGTTTCAGCTCAAATCGAGATCATACCATGCAAGGTGTGTGGAGACAAGTCATCAGGGGTGCACTACGGGGTCATCACCTGCGAGGGATGCAAGGGCTTCTTCAGGAGGTCTCAGAGCACAGGTCGGCTTCTTACAATAAGCTTTTTCTATAGTTACAATTTATTTTTAATTATCCAGCCAGTATTTTTTTTAATCTGCCTTTTCAAAGGATGAGCCATAATTAAGAAATATGATTGATTCAATATTCATTTTTAAATAACTAATATTATAAATGCGAATGTTTAGATGGATGGATGTTTGTTAGAGTTTGTAGCCTAAACGGCTAAAGTGATTTGTTTGAAATTTAGTGTAAATGTAAAGGACAGTCTGAAAGAACAAATAGACTATTCACTGTTGTTTTTTTTTAATATATACGGACGGAGTCGCGGGCGTAAGCTAGTTATTCATAAAATATTACTTCATAAAAAGATATTAAATTAAAATTGAAACATAAGTTAATACTGTACCTGAAAGCTTCCACAAATCTTTAAAGCGTTAAGAGTTTCGAAAATATGGTAGTTCGTTTACTTAATAAAAGGCAATACCGAACTTTATTTTCATGTAAACCAAGGTTTGTTAAGATTATATGTAGTACAGACATCCTTTTAGTTTATTAACAATGGTACATAGAAATTAGCTACTTCTTACGTTTAACTAATACTTTTGTTTATTTCATCCACAATGAGAGATATCTTGCTTAAACCAACTTGTAATTCGCGCGTATCTCAAATCGTTCTCGACTCATATTTATTGCTTTGGAGATAATCTTTCTTCCTGGGCTTTATCTTTATCCGTTACTTGGCTGTTGTGAGGTCTTGTTTTATCTGTATTGTTAGTTGCTACAACAATTACTAACAAAATATCTGTAAATGTCTTTTGCATGTTGGTATTTGATACTTTGAAGCCATAATATTTTTTTGGTTCATTAATTCCTTGATTAATAACTTTCATTCGTAAATCATGTAATTAAATTAAAAAAAAGAGATTGATTTCATTTACATATATTACATAAGGTATACATATGTAGTCAAATGATTTTTTCCCCTTACTAACATCCCTTTGTTATGGTAGAAAGTAATCTTAAAAACTTAAGAATTATTGCTGGTTTGGTTATTTTAACTTCTATTAGAAATATAATTTGTATTTGTTTATTAACACAGTGCCTTCTTTCAGTGGTGAATTATCAGTGCCCTCGCAACAAGGCCTGCGTGGTCGACCGCGTAAACCGCAACCGCTGCCAATACTGCCGCCTGCAGAAGTGCCTAAAACTCGGCATGAGCCGTGATGGTATGTACACTTCTTTATTTAGTCGGGTTATAACAACTACGGTTATAATGGGAAATGATGGTAATCAGCACAATCAATTATGTAAGGATGGTAACACTATCATATACCACCCTGCCTCGGGAATAGATTTGTTCCCATATTTCTTTATCTATATTTAAACGTCTTTTAGGTTTTTAGTGCCTGTTCTTTTAGACGATAACTTTTTTGGAGAAGTTTTGATTAGTTTGTCACCTAAAGATTATTCGATTAAGTCTCTAGCTATTTCTTTAATTCTACTTGGGAATCAAATTATAACGGATAAAGTTCTGAAATGAAAATCGTTCGGAAACTCTAACACGATAGTTATATTAGTATCGATTCCTGATCGATCTTTCATCGTTGGGATCGGAATTTGTAAGATCGTGATATAAAATTACGTAAACACGTGGCATGAGGAAGCGAACGCGGGGTCGGCGACACCTTATCACAGTCTGATAACGCAATGTTGTTCTTATACAATCAGGTCCGTCCGTGGTCCAAGTGATAAACTACACGCGGAAAATTGTTACGTTACTTATTGTTGTGTTTCTCCGGTCTCGTGATTGGACCAACTCCTTGTATTGACCGTTTTATCAATGTGGGTTATATATTTTTTCCTTACACGATTGCTTGATTAGTCATGCAAGTATATCGAATTCTTGATTTACGATGACATTTGAAGATGTTTATAAATATTTATAAAATTTATTGCTATGGCATGTTCAACATTTCCCCTGTTAGACTGAATTATATTAAGTCAATTAAAAAAAAACCCATAAATAATCAGAATTAAGTAATAGAAAGTAAGAAATTTCATAGCTGGATAAACTGCAATTGCGGATGTCTATGGGCAGCGGTCGCTTCGCCATTTTGGCGGATTAAGGTGGCCGCTTGCTCGTTTGCCACCTTATGTTATAAAAAAAACGAATATTTAAAATAGATATAATCAGAAAGAAGAAGACCTGTAGATGTTAGATATTAATTCATATTTCATTAATCAAAGTTAATCTTGACAATGCTTCAAATTCAGACTTGCAAAATTTACGTTCCAAAATACAATAGTTTACGGAGGAGGCAAAGATGCGTATTTAAATCAAACTTTACTGGCAACTATAAATAAGTTATTGATAGAAGACACATAAAAGGAGGAACTTCTCACATATATCTTACGTGTCCATATTGCTTGTATTACAAAACAAATGTTAATCGATAAATGTCAGATGCTTACATCGTGGTGGGCGCGCCTTGCCTATATTGTTGGGACTGAAGTCGCATAGCGCGCCGTCGACCGACCGTACGCGTTGCGCAACTGTATGTAATGTTAGTGATGTAATGATGATGCGTATCGATATCGATAATGAAAAGCAACAAATGACGCATATTACTTTGAGATGAGTAACGTAATTAAGGTATTTAATAACGACTATTATTAAGCACTTATATCCAATGTTATAAATGAATAATAACATATGAAATCTAAAACGGAAGAGACAATTTCAAATGACGAATAAGATGCAAATTAACTATTGATTATTAAAGTAAGAAATTCATTGCTTATTTTATTAGTTTTGAATTACCTTAATCGTAACTGTGTTTTTGATTAGTTTAGATTTAGTTGAGTTTTTCATACATGCTTATGCTTGCTATCGTCTCGGCGCAGAATACAATATATATATCAGATGTGATTTAATGGGAAAAAAGTTTTTAAAATCAGTCCAGCAGTTTTTATGTTTACTCGTTACTACAAAAATTACAATCTTTTTCTTTATAACATTAGTGTAAAGATTATCTCGTTATCGTTATTTAAATGATCGATATCGATATATCATATCCATCACTAGTAATTGTGCAACAGTGCAGGCGTGAAGCGTAACATAATATAAGTTTTTGTTGGCAACTGACAGACACGAATGCTATATCAAGTCATTATGTAACTAACTCGATCGAACCTGAAAATGTAAAAAAACGTACAATGTGACCCAATTTTATTGACTGAATGCCGCGGATTCCTTCACGAATATGGAGACACGTAATCGTTTGGTATTGATAATTATTACTTTGTTTCTTTACGTGTATATACTATAGGTAAAATGACGAAACGAATCTTTAACATTTCGCTTCGTAAGCGACGTTTACAAGATTGTAAGAGCGCGCAGATCTTTGACAAAACTATCGCGTTGTGCGATTGTTGTCTGTCGATTGTTTGGCAGCCAACTGAACAGTTTATTTGGACAACTAAAAATCGAGCATTGTGTGTGCGCACGCTCTAAGCTAATTTTGATGTCAATATTTGAAAGAAATTTGGAGTTTAAGTATGGTCTTATTTAAAACGTTATTAAATATTTAAATGGCGTTTCAGTATTCGGCCGTACGTATATGTATTTTATTTGCAAAGCTGAAGTAATAACTATTTTTATCTTGCTTTTTTCTCTTCAAGTGTTATCATTGGCTCTTACTAATGTAACTTAACTCTAGTTAGCCTACTCATTTCTATAAAACTTGCAGATGTTAACTTATTCTAATATTTTTTTTTAATAACTTCTTATCACTTAAACATTGTAAAGAATGTACGGTGAATTGTATAGTATTTTTTACATGTTATAAAAGTTACATATAATTTTTATGATAAAAGATTCTGTCAAAAGTTTTGACTTAACCTAAAAGTTTTCGTAGTGTAAATAATGTTCCGAGTTCTGGGAGGCCCCAAATCACGAAAACAGCCGACTCATTGTCTAGACGTTAATGTTTTTCACAAAATATCGCCTTTGTACGAAAACCCATTAACTAGGACGTTAAACTGGAGGTTACTGTTCCAAAATGCGTACCAATAATAGCCACTCGTCGCGACCTCTCCTTTCAAACGATATACAAAGAAAAAGAGTTCCGCCTTAACTGGCAAATACTACGGGTCATCGAACTTTTCCTAAGACTTTTCATAGTCAAATAGAACCGAAAATTATACGCACACAAAAACAAAACGACAAAGACAAATTAGTCAGCTAAATTAGATGAATTAGTACAGTTGAGTATAAATCTTGAAGGTATTAAACGTTTTAATTTAGTCGCGTTACCGGCCAACGGGATCGAGCCGCGTTACGTAGTAAGGCTGCTACACGTCACATGTACGTACTACGTATACATACATACGTCAGAGTTACCAGAGTTCGTTGTTCCACTAGGCAGTGTGCCAACGGCCGCCGTGTCCCGCGCGCACACACACGAACCACGTAGGTGTCCTCACGCACACCACAACGCGTCACTCGTATCGTACAATGCACACATTCGCAACCCGTTACAACATCGACGCTTTTCGCACACATCACCCGTTGAACGTGTGTGCGTGAGGTATTGAGTAACAGTATGCTAGGTGTCATTGAGAGCGCAATGCATTGTGAAGATTACTTTACCGATTTTTACGTGTTGTGTTTTTTCGACGTGTGAATTTGCAGAAGCTATGGGAACAGCGAGAAAAATTGATTCCCTCGTTACATCAGACGCGATCTTAGCGCTATCTAGTGGCGAATAGCGTAAATGAAATATTTAAATGGAGTTATTTCGTAAAAATGTTGAGCTATTCGAGGCTTATAATTTAAATAGATATTACATAGTGTTTAGATGCATTGTATTTTTCTTTACAGCGGTGAAATTCGGTCGTATGTCGAAGAAACAACGTGAGAAAGTGGAGGACGAGGTTCGGTTCCACCGTGCGCAGATGCGTGCGCAGACCGACGCCGCGCCTGACTCTGTGTACGACGCCCAGCAGCAGACCCCCAGCTCCAGCGATCAATTCCACGGTCACTATAACGGGTATGTCATATAATTTTAAAAAACTTAAAAAAAGCATCTTTTGGAAATATAAAGTGTGAAATCTTGATTTTAAATTTCACGAGATTTAAATGTAACATTTCTTCAGTGGCAAATTAGTATTTTTCTTATATTAAATGCAAATATATATGTGTTCTTAGAGAAGTTTTACAAAAAGTGAATACTGTTTATTAAACGGGTACCGCAAGAAGCGATAGCATACAAGTGGAACAATGCGGTCTTTTTCTGCTTGCAGAAAAATCTCGGCTGTTTTATCAGTAATCATTGCATTTTTCATACTCGGCTTGCGTCCCGTTATATCATCGCAAAAGCGGAGACGGTTTCTCCGTCTACATGGAAGCCCTTACCGTTGCTAGCCCGTAATTCGCCGTAGACATTCGTGTCAGCGGCGCATCAGACATCATTACGGGAACGGTATACGCGCGTGACAGTGAATGACGCCTAGCGGTAAATGTAAATAGCGCCACCTAGTATCGAATAGCGGTATCTCAATAGTACGTGTAACTGCCAATAGATTGCGGTGTCGGCTATAGTTATGTCAATTGTGGTGCATTAAAATTGATTTTAATTGACAGGTATTTGTATTCAATGATAATGCGATGAGATTTAATTTGTGTAATGTGTTTACTGTCAACGGGTTTTCATTTCTTTAAATATGTACTTATAGATCTGTTCTACCGTTATAGGGACTTGGAGAGGATTTCTTTATTTCTTATGACATAATTGTATATTTCCAGCTACCCTGGCTACAGTTCACCGTTGTCGTCATACGGATATAGCGGTGCAGGGCCGGCGCTCACCTCCAACATGAATATAGCGCCCCAACAACAACAGCCGCAGCCCTACGACGTGTCCGCTGATTACGTCGACTCCACCACCACGTATGAGCCCAAACAGACTGGAGGATTCTTGGATACCGACTTCATTGGGGGACATGGTAAGTTGGTAAAACAACATCCTGTATATACTAAACTTAAGGCGTATGTTTTATGAGACTATTGCCATAATTTAGCAACAATACCTGTGTTACACTAGAAACTAATATAACGTCTAAAATATATTGTGTTTTGAATAAGTATTTTAACTTTACGAACATAAAAATATGTACGTCATTAGTGTCTGGGGTTTTTGATATTTGTTCGAAATTACAAGTACTTGATAATGTAAGGTTAAATATATAATAGAATAAATGTTTAATGTCAATAGACGAACAACAAAAAAGTTCGACAATCGTTCGACCGAGCGGCTCGACGTCGACCACAACCGTCACCACTCCGACAACATCCATGCGACAAACAACAATGAACGATATGAATCGATCTCGGATACAACAGGATTTCGATCGTTACGACCAAGAACGGATCCAATCCCCAGTATCCATATCGTCAGGGGTGATCAACATAAAGCAGGAAATCAAACCCGAAACCTCTATGGCGGTTGACAATCTCGTTGCAAGCTACGTTGATTCAACAACTTTTCTACATAGTCCTACAAATATGAGACACAGCCCTATGGATATACAGAACACGGTTCTTGTCAGTGGTCAGAGTTCAGTATCTTTGACCAGTGAGGAACTAAGTCCGGATGATTTAACGTCTAGTAGTGGACACGGACGGTTAATGGATCCATTAAATATGAATATGTCTGGAATGGGTATGGTCAACCCAAATGCGGTCACAAACCGACGACATCCAGGCTCCAGTCAGAGTGGATCGAGTGGAGATGATTTGCCTTGTAAGTGGTAGATGGATGTCGTTTAATTTTTCTTACGATTCTGTTCTTTATTTTGTAGGCTAGTTTTTTAGTTGCTGTTTTAAATAAAATATTTTTTTTTATTAAAATGTTTAATATAGGAACAAACACAAATGTATTAATTCATTACACTTTGAATTGCTTTTGAAAATGTACTTGGCTCTTGTTTAAACTAACATAACACTGCCTATAAGCCTGGAACAGAGAGATATCAAAGAATTATTTCTACAGGAGCAGTAAAATTCTTGACTTATGAATTTATAAAAGTATTCTAAATCGAAACCAGTAGTATTTAATAAAAATACCTTAGGATTTTGATATTCGTCCATACGTCTTGCTTTTGGTTGTACAATTAAAACTGGTATTGGCACAAAGGGCGTTGTGAGACAACACGCGAACAGACAAGCTGAAATAATAGAAAACTGATTACTTTTTATCTATCGGCGATACGCTATACTTCATCGTTTTAAATAAAATTGGTTCTTCTGCCTACACCCTCGAACAGAAAGTCCGAGGTAACTCATTTGTTCGTGCCTTTCCCTTGGTTTTATTCCCGTTTGGGATAAAACAGACCGAGACTCGGAGTTTAGATTTTATAATCTGTTTATAGTAAAACACTCACGCCAGCACGTCAGTAAGCAAGTCGTTAGGACAACGGCAGACAGAGGATCTATAGCCATATTGATTTGTTTGATTCTCTCATTAATTTATATTATTTACTATATCCATGAATTAAATTATCATATTTGGCACTTTTAACTGTCAATGTCAACGTAGTTTAGTTTTTTATATTTTTTTAAACTTAGGTTTTACTTTTTTTATTGTTATTGTCGCTATTTTACATATTATTTGCAGCTTACTGTAATTAAGTTTTATTTTGTGTAGTTTTATAATATGTTTTAATTTGTAAGACTCTCAATATATTATGTTATTTGATGTACAGTCGGGGAAAATCGCAGTGTTTCATCTTCAGAAATATATCAAGATAAAAATCGGTTCTTAGTACAAAGAAAAAACAATTAGGTAGCAGTGAGTTGAGCAAACGTTGGGATAATAATGAATAGCAATTATTCGTATAACATTGACTGTTTTCTTTAAACATTGTAGTGATTGAACAACTAGCTTTCAAGGTAGAATACCGCCAGATTCCCCGACTGTACCTTTCACTTATGTGATACTATTTTATTTAGATACATGTGTGTTTGCAGCTGAGGGCGACATCAGCAAGGTGTTGGTGAAGAGCCTTGCCGAGGCGCACGCCAACACAAATCCAAAGCTCGAGTACATACACGAGATGTTCCGGAAACCACCAGACGTGTCCAAGTGAGTAACAAACCTTATTACAAGACCAAAATATTACTATGTGTTTCAGAAGTTAAACATGTGTTTTATACGTTACTACCGACCAGACCCTCCCCGCATTTGCACAGGCTCAATGCTTGAACAAAAATGTGTTTATTTCCATCCTTTAGAAACATCTAAATCAGTATCTCTCTACTATATTATATAAACCTTACTCTTAAGTAACCCTATCTATTAACTGCGTTAAAACCGTTGCATAGTTTTGAAGATCAAAACATACTTAGGGAAAGACAGACAGCGGGAAGCGACATTGTTTTGTGCCATGTAGTGTAGTTAACGACTAATATCAGAACATAAAAAGACTGGATCAAATCAATGCCTTGTCCTGTTAAAGTAGCTGCTTACGCTTGAAGTTATAAACAGCTTTTCTACACTCTATAGTGATTCGAGTATATCTACGTATAAAACCAAAAGAACTATGACAGTACCATTTTAGGATTTGGTATATTTTTATTTTGTTTTCCGCAGGCTTTTATTCTACAACTCGATGACGTACGAGGAGATGTGGCTGGACTGCGCGGACAAGCTGACTGGCATGATACAGAACATCATCGAGTTCGCTAAACTTATACCCGGTTTCATGAAGCTCACTCAGGACGACCAGATACTGCTGCTTAAGTCCGGTACGATAACAAATTTATTTCAATTGAATATACATATACTGATCTAAAATGTTTAAATTACATTGCGGACAATTTCTAAAAAGAAAGAACAATAGCTTAAGTTACATATTGTAACATGCATGTGTTGCCTGGTATAAAGGTTCTTTCTAATATAAAGACAAAACGGGAATTAAGTATTATTAAAAAAGAGTGTAAAATAACAGTAACTTATGCAATGAATAATGGGTAATAAATCTAAGATCTAAGGATTATTTTTTTATTCCAGGATCGTTTGAACTGGCCATAGTGCGTCTGTCGCGGCTGATCGACGTCAACCGCGAGCAAGTGCTGTACGGAGATGTCGTGCTGCCAATACGGGAGTGTGTACACGCACGGTATGTAACTAACCTCTTTTATGTATATTTATCAAAGAACGCAATACTCGTGAACATATACAAAACAAATGCAACAAAAGATTGTCTATTATCCTGATATCCTGATAAATTAGGGCCTGTCCCACCATATTGTAAATTGTATGACAACAATCCAACGTGATGCGTGATGGAAACATCGGATTTTGTTACATTAACGGACAGTGACGTCATATTTAAGTTACCTGAGCCTCTATCAGTCAGTGGTGGGACAGGCCCTTTTTAGTATTTTAATCAAGGACGAAGAATATGACCGTCTGTACTGTTAACTTTAGCATTGTTCTAGCGTTTCCAATGCTAGAACAACCGATCACTTGTTGTTTCAGTTAGTTTTCTACAGAGTGAAAGGGATGAATGTTTTTGTATAAGTGTTCTGACAGTCTAAGCATAAGGTGTCATGTTCACAGTGATCCTCGAGATATGGCGCTGGTTGTAGGCATCTTTGACGCAGCGAAGACAATCGCGCGACTCAAACTGACTGAGACAGAACTCGCGCTGTACCAGAGCCTTGTGCTTCTTTGGCCAGGTGAGTATTGTATAGCGAACTTTATTTATTAAAACTAGCTTTCGCCTGCAACTCCGTCCGCGCGTGATTAAAAAAAAGTAGCCTATGAGTTGTTTCGGACTTCCCTCTACATGCAAATTTCATCGGAACTCGTTCAGCCATTTAGGCTACAAACATTCGTCCATCCATTTATGATAAGAGTAAACAAGTAAACATCTGGAAAGAGATATTTCTCTTGCAGATGCGTTTAAGTTTTAAAAACTATTTTTGTAGTAGGAATTAAAGGAAAAAAAAAACAAATGTAGTCGTCAAATAATTAACTTCGGGTGACAGGAATGTAACATCAATATCAAATATGTAAATGAAATATCTTTTGTATTCTCAGAGCGGCACGGCGTGCGCGGCAACCCTGAGATCCAATGCCTGTTCAACATGTCGATGGCGGCCATGCGGCACGAGATAGAGACCAACCACGCGCCGCTCAAGGGTGACGTCACAGTACTCGACACGCTGCTCACCAAGATACCCACCTTCAGGTCAGTAACCACCTGTTCTAAGAACATTACACTAGTTTGCATAGTTTCAACTTAAAAGTGCTGGATATAGTAAGTCAGATAACTTTTATCTAATATGTATATGGCTTAATCAACGTTATTAGCTTGCGTTAAAATTGCAGAAAACAACACAAAATATCACAGCCTTGTTACTTTTATGTCTTTGGCTTACAATATAATTTGTGTTTACAGAGAGCTCTCGCTGATGCACCTGGAGGCGCTGTGCCGCTTCAAGGCGGCGCACCCGCAGCACATGTTCCCGGCGTTGTACAAGGAGCTGTTCTCTCTGGACAGCGTGCTCGACTACACACACGTCTAGGCGACAGGTGACAGGCTCGCGACAGGTGACAGGTTCGCGACAGGCTCGCGACAGGTTCGATCTCATTTTTGCCTCCGAATGCAACGTTCAGGCGGCAGTGAGGCGGGCCCGGGATCAGCCTATCAAGACTCGACAGCTACGTTTCGTTTAGTCTCCCCTTCCCCTTAGCTGGAACTGAAGACATCCGCCCGTCGTTTGTTAACCTATTTATAATTGTATGTATGTACTTTGAGACTGTTATAATATGATATTTACGTATAGGTACGTACGTACAATATTAATATTTAAATGTTTATTTAATTCGATTCTAGGGACGAGCAGGTGTCTTCAGCTTAAATTTACAATTATTATGAGAACGTATCGATTAATGTTTATGGGTTTGAATGTTCGCGAGACTATGAGCAAAGTAACGGGAACGCGCGGAACCTGGGAAGTATGCCTTTTTGTACTCTACAATATGTAATATAATGTACATAATGCGTTATATTATATATTGTATAGACGGGGTGGATTATTATCGTAAAGTGTATCTAACTTTGAATGAGGAAATAATAATTATATATAAAGATATAATAATAGAAATAGAGTTTTTATTAAGAAATAAATAAAAGTTATAAAGATGTAGACAGGTTTTGAAGATCACACAACAGTTTCTTATAAGCGAGACATTTAATTAATAGGTCTTTTTTTAATTATTTTATTAGTTATTTTAAAGAGAATTGTAACTTGTTATTTATTTCAAATGATTATTAATATTGATGTTTTCTCCTTTCAGTTGTAGAATGTCGATTATGTTATAACGTAGGCTTACAGAATACTGCCCATTATTTTGTATTTTAATTTTCTTTAGCTTGATTTAATGGATCAAATGAATCGAACACATTAAATAAAGCGATGGAAAACCTTTGAAAAATATAACGTAATTTAAATTATAGTAATTTGCATCATAATTTTGATGCGCGGTGAACAAAAATACAGCCAGAAATAACATTCCGTTGTTGGGTGCCGCGGTATCGTTTATTTATATGTAATTGTTAATTTCCACTGCTGTAACATAGCAAAACATATCATTGACTTTCTTTTTCAATGAGAATGAGAGGGACGGCAACCTGTTTGATGGTAATATGTTTTTTTTTAAATGTTTAGGCAGTGGAAGTTGACGTTAACCTTTGACTTTATTTTCACCTTGTACACAATTGTGAGGATAAAGTCAAAGCGTTTTTGTTGTATACCACCAGCGTTTTTCATGTGTTCATTTTTCAAATTAATGTTAATTTTTAACGCACGATTTTTATACGATATTTTTTATTGTATCGTTATTTTATTTCGATTTTTCGTAATAAGTATCATCGTTTTTTATAGATAATGTTCGTGGATGATTTGTGAAATGAACGCTTTTTTTTTGGCACTCAAAAACGGGATGAGGTTTTTTAAATTGTAGAGACAAAAATGCGTTTTGTATGTTTTAATAGCAGGCAATTTACAGTTTTGTATCTTTATTGATTAAATTTGATCTCATTGTGTTTGCACTTTTCTTCGCTTGGGTGCCATGTTTTGGTTTTTTTTTTAATTTGTACCGCATAATAAAAAAAGAATAAGTCGATGCATAATATTTACCTTAGTCTTTAAAACAGTAAAGTACATTTTTACATTTTTTTACAATTATACGTAAGTTGTTTCGCTTTTTTGGTTAGTTTTTTTTTACATTTTTTTATTATTGCTAAATATTTGTCTGTTTACGTAATTTTGACGCATCTAAATTGCCTGCTAGGGTTTTTAGAATTATCTATAACCATCAATTTTCTAACACTTACGCTAAGTTTTGTCGAATAGCCTTTACTATAGACTGGTTTATAATAGTGTTAAAAAGTATAAATCTTAACTCGTATTTTGTAAATAGCTAATATTCATATGTATTTTATATTAAATATCATAATAAGGTTCGATGGGTTATTTTTAATTTTACATTCTATTAAAAATAAAAAAACAGGTTTTCCACTTGGATTGAGAGATATAAATCTTGAAAAGTCACGTGAAAAATGTTGTTTTTTTCCTTTCTATATATTATATATTTTTTGTTAAATAAAGCAATCTGTTATTGTCTATATTTTTTGTTTTATTTTTTGTTCCGTTATATCGCTTTTATTTTTTTTTATTATTTTTGACAGTCTCATTAAAATCACATACACATAGATTTTTTAATATCAATACCATAGTTATAAATATACATATATAGTGAGAATATATAGAGTTTAACAAAATATACTGGTGGTTCAAATATTACTTTAAAAAATACACTGTTATATAAAAATATATTTCAAATATGTTTAATTCAAATTATTAAATATGAATATAGTTGATAGAGAGCCGTTGAAATGTTTAATCGAAATATAACTTTTACATCCACATTCACAACTTCATAGTGATGTCACGTTACAAAGTTGGTTCCAAACGTTACAAAGTTTGTTCCAATAACAATGTTACAAATGTTACAATTCTGTTTATTAAATTATATTATAAAATTAGTCGCTTATATTTAGATGAGTTAGTGGTACAATTATTTCGGCATACCAATGAGGAGTGTCCGATTTTTTTAATGAAAATAGAGACTGATACAATTGTAATACGATAATACAAGATATCATTCGTATTTAGCGTTAACACGTTGCGAAATTTTCATATTAAAACGGACATTTCCCATTACAACATTTATTTAGAGCACGGTAAAATTTTAAAGCACTAAGACTGAAACGAATCGGCTGAAACCGTTTAAGCTTTTGCCTAAACAATAAAAAAAATAACCGTCTATGCATAAAATTTATGGAACATCACCTTGTCCAAATCCAAAATAAAATATATTTATAAAAATAACGACAAATCTATATCTTCCTTACAAATAACAATATAAACTATCGCATGTTATTGGATTTAGATACAGGTGTTCCAATTTATGTCGAATTTATTTTAACATTTTTAAAATAATAGAAAATATGAAACATTAAACCTGATACCTGTGTTTTCTATACAGGCTGTTACTAAAACCGAATCGTGTCCATTCTATATAAATTTCGTCTTTAAAACTCGTAGACTTGGAGACTGGTGCATAACATTCGAGAATGTTGTAACACGCCGTATCTCTTCATCGCAAGCGATCGAGGGGTGTTAGTGTGATAGAGATAGGAATAGGGTAAAAGTTTAATTGCTGAGTAGATTTAGTAGGTATTTCTAAAACTTTTATACTATGTTTTGCTAAATTTTCACTAAAACAATATAATAGAATTGGACACTAATCGATAGCGTGTAAAGTAACGATTTGGTATAGACGCAAGACGCAAGACGCAAGTCGCAAGAATGGGTTTGCGGGATTTGGGATAATAAGTTTGTGTGTTTCGTGTGATTTGTACGTAGGTCATTTGTTTCCTTTGTTACTTTTATATCAGTTATTCTGAAAGAGCTTCTATTTTATACTTAAATGATGATACCAAATGTACGGGTGTGTCGAACATTGTGGGATAGTAAAATTTTGTACCTCTTGTTTTTCTATGAGATAATTATTTTATATTACAAAAAAAATATTGATTTGTTAAACTGAATATTACGTATTTTTACACATTAACTAAACATATAAAATTGAAATATAAAAATAAACCTATATCTATGTAAAGAGATCAGAATATATAAATACATATTTTGTATGTGCAAGTTGGTCGAAATATATCAAAAGATAAGAGATTTTATGATAAAACAGTTTTAAATAATTCGGAACTGTTAGTTTTTTCGATCAACCTGTATATACATTTAGCTTTGTTGATTTGTCAACTCAATACAAAACATTGTACCTAAAAGTAGATGAAGAATGGAGTTTGAGAACCAATAGAAAGTAAATGTTATTGTTTTTATTATTATTCTGGAATCACTTGCAAAGGATCGTGTTTTATTTCTAGAACCTTCTATAAGTGTCCTTGAACAATTGTCCTACGCTCAAAAGTATACTAACCTTGAAAGTTTACTGCCGTGACACATGTTCACATATTTATCAATTAATTAAAAACCAGAAAAATACACTTAGAAAAAACAGACATGTGTATATTTTCATACTAGTTACGGTATTTCCTAGTATGGTATTTATACATGTTAAAAATCCTAACCTAAATTACAGCATCTATACAAAACCGAAGTATCTCGGAAAGGGATAAGGGATATGATATTAATTAGGGCATTGGAAACTAAATACTTCTCAGTGTTACCGTTTTAATTTATTTTCTTTTACATTTTGTTTGGTGCCCCATACTAACTTATTAATAGGCCACTGAGCTAAGTAAAACAGACATACAGTAATACCAACGCCGATAAATATAATTGGAAAGTATATTGTTCCGAGAGCTAGCTTCAGAAACGGGTACGGCCATGCTCCAATACGATGGTGTGTTGCGAATAATCTGTAAAATTAATAAAAAATAAATTGCTTAGTCCTTATAAATAACAAAACAAACACAGACTATTAGTTCAGTCTGTTGAATTGCACAGTTAATTTTTTGCTTCCACAAGTATACTTTTAACGGAACAATTCGACTGTTCAGTTAACTATTATTGTTGTTTAGAACTATCTGTTACCCGCGCCTTCGTCCTCGCATCATTAAGATGAAAAAGTAGCCTATAATATGCCTGTCTTTGACAGCTACCCTTCAGTGAAAGCCCGGTTTAAAACGGCCCAGCTGTTTCGGAGATTATCAGACACAAACGCGGCTTGCGTACAGATAGACAGACAGACAAAATTTTGTAAAATACGATTTTCGGTATCAGCAACGCAAATACATCATCTTCCCGAAATCAAAGTTTAACCAAGTCTTTCACAGTAGTTATTTTAAGAGGAACATGTATCTAACAATACATTATTTCGTTTTTAGAAGAAGTTATTAAGCAAATATTTTTGTTGATACTTACACGACCAAATAGGAAAAGTAGCATCCGTAAGTGTGAATTAGATTGATCTTGTGCGATACTGGGGCCGACTTTGGTAGGAACATAAACTCCCATATTACAATAAGCAGTATAGCTGTGTGCATTATATGGTTAGAACCTTGACTAAGCACTTTATCTATGAAAGCTGGGAATACTAACTCTCTGTCATATAAATATATCGGCCAGAATATAAGTGATATTAACTGAAATAGAAGAAAGTAATAGATAAAGTTATAACTTCGGCCAACGTCAACGCTTCGTCAGAATAAAAAACTAATAAATCCCATGTATTCTTCCAGACTGCTCTACATTTGTGCTAAATTTCATCAAAATCTGTTAATCCGTTTTAGAGGTACGTTGTAACTAATGCATGCAAACTTTCGTAAATATAATTTTAGTATGATAGAATGACAATATATCCCAGACAGACTTCTGTAATCTTTGGAGCGGAATACAAACATGGCGATAACACATTTTTAAAAAATTCAATTGTAGTGGAAACCAACGGTTATAAGTGACCAAAAGTTGTATGCAGTTGTAAAGAAGTTAGTAGTCGACGCACGTTCAAACGTAACGATTTGAATCTAAGCATACTAAAGTAACGTAGAGTGAAACAAATTGTCAGTATCACTATTTATGTCCAAATACTAGGAGGATAAACATGAGTAGATAAAAAGCGTACAGACTGAAAGCTTCTATACAACTATACAAGCATGGTATTTGTGAGTAACCACTGGCTGGTTTACACCGCCTCAACCAGTGGCCGACAGGCATAAAGCCTTGTATGATGTACCTTATTTTTTTGTGACTGAGTTGCCACTGTTTTCCTTGAAAAGGCATTTACAGATTAGTACAACACATTGTCTCTGTATAATTTTATCTACTCTTGAAAAGTAGAGTGAATAAACATGCACTAAACTTGATATTTCGATAGTAACACATCAAATGGTCTATCGTTAGTATTCTAATTTTTCATTATAAAAAAGCTTTCATACTTACAACACCAAGAGGTAGTATAATACTAGCGAAAATAATTTCTCTATATGTTTTCAATTGTTTTATGAGTCCGTGCTCCTTGATTTCTAACAACGTTGGTAAATCACATAAAATTCCCAAACACGGGTACGCTAATTGAAATACCTACAAGAAAAAGAAAATATTTTTTTATTATAACAAGTCTTTAAATTTTATAATTACTTATCTTGAAGACCAACATCCGAAGTTCAATTAATAAAAAATACACATATAAAAAGAGTAACAAAAATAAGACGAAGAAAATATACTTAAATATTCGCTTTAAAGTTTTCTAACAAAAAACCATATTATTGTACGTAAAAATATTTAAATAAAGGAATTATTGAAAAGTTTACAATAACTGTTAATTTCTTGAGAAACATTTCCTTCGTTAATTTCAGTTGTTATTTTTAAGCTTTAACAAGTTAATTTTGCAATACTTTTCAAATCCCTTTGCTATAAATAAAAATAACATTACAACGTATAGATATGTTACTTACGACATTCCAAATTGTAATATACGCCCATTGTAATGCTGCGAATGTTTTTATTTCCGGATCCTTCATAATATCACCCCGCAGTGCAAGGAACATGACGATAGAATTCCCGCCATGTAGAGCCAGTGATGTCGCATACCCGAACAATCGGTAAGGTGCGTAGTTCTTTGTTAATCTAAAATTCATTAAAAGTATGTTAGAACGGAGGTAGAAGAGACCCGAAGAAAGTATGGATTATGGATACAGTCGTAGAATCCGCTTTAACATCTTTGCACGAATGGGTCGGCTCTCCCGGTGTAACACAACGACCACACAGAAGACAGGCGTCAAGTGGAAGAAATTCCGCGTTTCGTCTGATGAGTGTGGTGCCGGAGGCCCAACTTTTTTGAGGAAAAAAGGGACCAAGGGACAAAAGAGGAAAGTGGGTTTGACGACGTAGGAGCCACGTAGGAAGATGAAATATCTTCTTTATGTGCGTCTCCTCCGCCGATTAAGAGTAGACAACGCATCTGCAATTGTGGATGTTTATGGGCAGCGGTCGCTTTGCCATTTTGGCGGATTCAGGTGGTCGCTTGCTCGTTTGCCACCTTATATAAAAAAGAGGAAGTGAATTCTGATGGGCTTGTTAGGATGTATTGAAGAGTAGTACATGCTATGCTGATACTGCGTTAGAACGATCTATTAAAATCTGTATTACGTGTAAACGCGTTTTTTTTAAGAACCTAGTTGTATATTATATGAAATTCGATTAAAAAGCCTTGAAAGGTGCAATGAAAGCTGATACTAGAGTTTCTATAAAGATAGAATTCATACAGATTAAGACGAAAATTAAGTTTTTTTTTATAACATAAGGTGGTAAACGAGCAAGGGGCCACCTGAATCTGCCAAAATGGTGAAGCGACCGCTGCCCATAGACATCCTCAATTGCAGATGCGTTGCCTACCCTTATCAGACGGAGGAGGAGACGTACATAAAGAGTTTATTTTCCCTTCCTATGCATCTCCTCTATCGTCAAATCCACTTCCCCTTCCCATCTTCTCATAAGAAAAGGGCGGTAAAGAGAAAGGGACTAAAATTAGGCCTCCGGCGCCACACTCATCAGACGAAACACGGAATTGTTTCCATTTCACGCCTGTCTTCTGTGTGGTCGTGGTATTACACCGGGCGTGCCGGCCCATTCGTGCTAAGATGTTAAAGCGGGCACTACCACTGTTTAAATACAAATTTATGAAAAACCGCATGAAAAATATAAGTAAAATAAAGAGTTTTGTTCTTAACAATTTTCATAACTATTTAATTCATTAGAATTTTTGAAATAACTCTATCAAGAAAAAAAAAACTAATTGTTAGTCTCAAAATCTTAATGTGCTATTGTGTATGACAAATTAATTTTCTTAAACCAAAGTTCCATACTTTTTGCTTCATTATGTAATGAGAAACAGTCGTTTAGCTTCAAAATTCAAGGACGAGGCTTCACTTACCTCATGTTAAATATATTCTTCATATTACAGTTTTCTTACATTTAACAGTTTTTCAACCAGCTGACCGTTTGCCATACCTGAAAGTACTAATTTAATCAGTAAACATATTCTGTATTACCCTCAAAAACATCTAAAAAATATATAGACGAGGCATAGTGAACACATTTTTTTCTGAAATTTCTCTGAAAGGTACTAAATCAGTTATCAAGTTTAGTGCCTATGTCCTTATATTGACATGTAATAAAACATTTTACAAAATTATGTTTAGCTCAATCTTTTGTTATAAAAGAAACTAAACAGTGTTACTAAATAAAATATAAACAATCACATATTATTTAATGACTATTGGCAATTAATTAATTAAAATTGTTTATATTGAAGTGAAGTGTCAATTATGCCTCCTTTATACACTTTTAGGGCCTGTCCCAGGTGAGAGTCAAAATGGCGGGTGTACCATCGCGAATTAAATTATACCACTTACTAAAAAAATGTACCTAAATTGTACTAATTAGTATATTTTAGGTACATTTTTTCAGTCAAAATGGCGGGTGTACCATCGCGAATTAAATTATACACACATGTACTAATAGTACATTTTAGGTACATTTTTTTAGTAAGTGGTATAATTTAATTCGCGATGGTACACCCGCCATTTTGACTTTCACTGTCCCACCACTGGCTGATAGAGGCTCAGATAGCTTAAAAATGACGTCACTGTCTGATAAGGAAACACAATCTGATATATCCATCACATATTTTACACGTTGGATTGTTCAGACAATTTACAATTAGAGGGGACAGGTCCTTGATCTCTTTTATTACCCTTATTGATCATTCAATTCTTTGATCGCACTCTTTATGGTTTTGACTGTCAAATTATTTGTATTTCTTTAAAAAGGCTTAGACAAAAGTCTTAATACAAAGACTCCCAGTTATACGGCCGCTATATAAAATTAAAAGTATATTTAAATTACAACATGATTCAATGTAAAAATGTGAAGGATTTTGTCGTGTCTAGAATCTTGCTTATTTACAAATTTTGTTTAGATCGTTTAAAAGCAGAACCTGGTAAAACCGGTTAGGCGAATTTCAATTAAAGAAGGTAGCAACCGTCACTGCGTTTTTCTATTTTCCTTGTGTTTGTTGCAGTTATTACAAAATTAAATTATTTAAAAATAATGCATATTTATTGTCTAGCTGTTGTCCGCGACTTCGTCCACGCTATATTAAGATAAAATGTAATTTTATTACATGTATAACCTTGTCAAAGTAATAATTGAAAATCATATATGCGGTAGGGAAATTGCATAAATAAACACACGGTCGCGTTTGGTGTCACCAATAAATGTAAATAATCACTGTTAGAAAGTACTATTTAAAATTGTTTTAAAGTTCTTCCAGTCTTTCCTCTACATGTATGCCAAATTACATCGAGATCCGTTCAGCATTAAGGCTACAAACTAACAAGCCAACCATTTAAACTTTCGAATTTTAAAGTAGTAATAATTTTAACAAAATTCAAAATTCTTCAGCAATTTAATAACATTACTATTTTTAAATTACATAATTCACAAAACTCACATAGAAAAACACTCACTTAATATTCACTTACACGTACTAACTTAAACTTGTTACACTAATATATTATATTGTGACAATGTATATATTATTTTGTAATGGAGAAGGAGTTTGTTATAATAAATAAAACATCTATGTGTACCTCATAATGTATTAGTTAGTGCCATCTATTTTTATGGCCACGGAAGATCAGTATATGTGCTAAGTGACTTTAAATAAATAAATAAATAATAAAGTTTATGAAAGTGTTTAATACGTGTGATTAAATTAATTAAATTAATACGTGTGATAAAATAATTAAAAAATGTTTTGTTATTTTATTATAGTATTTAATGCAAAATTAAAAGCAGCAACTTACGTACGTTCACTCTGGATTCCAACTCTCCGTACAACTGAGGTTGTGTTCTAAAGCCTTAACTTGTTATACATATTTAACATGTAGGAAGTGTTACGTATAGCCAATTTACTTAGACACTCCTATAATTTTCTCTTTAACCGCGACAAGGTTCTTTCAAAAGTGGTTCATACGTTTTGTAATTTAAGATTAATACAGTAAGTTAGTAAGTTACATGTATTTTTAATGGTTTTTTATCAAAATAACAATTTGATCAGTTAAGGCTGTTCTGATAGAAATAAATAAGTAATTTTATTGCAGCAATGATTCAATCTTTGTTGTTTTTAATAAATTGTTACTAGTTCTTTCTAATAATTCGGAATTATGTTTGGTTTACATTATGCCACTAAAGTAGGCCAGTAGCGATCAACATCAGTGTTGGTATACAGCTGGCATAATGTACACAACTGGCTCCAGTGAGCCCATACAGGCCTACGCTACTGGTCAAATATAACTAAGACGTAACAAAAACAGTGATAAGTTCAAACTGATAGCTTTGAAATCACAGAATTAAGAGCTACGAGACATTCGTTCTGTCAGTTTGGACTGCAGTTCGACTTGTATGGGAAAACATTGTTATTACATGTAATATTACATCCAGTTATTGTTTTATTTTGTATATATAAGAAAATTAAAGTTAAGTTTTAGGAGACCCATAAACTTTCTCATAGAACAGATACAATGCAATATAAAATCAAGCTTAAATAATGTGGGTAGGTAAAGAAATATATCTTAAGCATAAATTTTAACTAGATTTTGAAATAACATGGTTTTTCCAGACCTAGGTCTCAAAAATTAGTGCTCAAACCCCTGTCTGTTAGAGCGTCATGTATTGGGACCCACAGATGCGCTGATTTTGACATTTTGACAGTTCACATACGAAAGGTTATTATAAAACTAGCTGTTGCCCTCGTCTTTGTCCAAGCAGTGTTAAGATAAAAAAGTAGCCTATAACATGCCCATCTATGTCAGCTACCCTTTAGTGGATGTCCGGTCGAAATCGGCCCAGCCGTTTCGGAGACGCG